TGGCGGAAATGGGCTTCCATAGAGAGTACTTTACACGTAAAAAATAAATAAAGGAAACCCTTTAATTCATGGCTTGTTTTTCTTCACCCAGTACAAGTTGAGGTTAATCAATAGGGCTTCACTTTTGCAGAGTAATTCAACGTTTTCTTGATTCTTCTGGTTTTGAAATGAAAGATTTAGCTTCATAGGGGCTGAATGAGTTTATTAACAGTGAGCAGAAAGACGAGATGACTGGAAGTACAGTATTCAGTATTTAGTAATGGTTTGACTGGCAGTGACACTTCTGATTCTAGATCACAGGCGATCAAAGTCATACTATGGGCTCTCGTATCCCTCTAAACTCGCTCTTTCACCGTACGCTTAGGCTCCACTCTTCAAAACTGCAAAGGTGGCACACGCTGGCAGCAGGTCAAGAGAAATCCTTCTCTACACACCCTCTACCCACAGCTATTTTTCAATTGACCAAGTCATGGCAATCTACCCCCCATCAGCCTGTCCGTTCGCCCGACTGCTAAATAGAAATAACAGCAGTAACCAAACGGATCAACTAACCATGGTGAAGAGCAGTGATATACTCTTGTCAGCAAATTCTGTTAATGTGGTTGCAAAATTGTCATCCAAAGTCCAAGACAAACTTCACAATAACAACTTTACATCTTAGATTCCAGCCGAGCGGATGTTTCCATTATTTTCATCATCTTTCCTTTTTGCATCATTTCATTCTAGATGTACTTAAAAGAGGTGTCAGACATAATCAACTGTTTACTCTTGAGTGGGGAATGTGCAAAACTAACTGTAATATTAATGAGACCTAGTGTTCCAAGCATGCAAGTGAGACACTGAGAATTGGTGTCACAGATTTGCTTTCTTTTCTGTTATTATAATAATGCAGTATTCTTATTTCTATTTACACTTGGATGTGACTTTAAAAAATTGATTGACACTTTTAGTTATCCAAAAGCCTGCATCCTATGGAGACTACAAAGGGTGACTTTCACATTACAGGTCATTTACCTGACGCTTTTATCCAAAGCGACTTACATTACATTTGTAACTCATGGCTTTTTACAATTTGCCCGGGGAGAAATTAGGGGTTCTTCGGGTGTCTTGCTCAGGGACTCAAACCACCAACCTTGTGGTTCCCAGTGCACCCTCTCTACCCAAGTATCACTATTTGACACCCTCGGAGCGCAGCACACCTGCACCACCGCTCTGTCTTTCATACCCCAGCCACCATTGCAAATGTGTTTTTATTCCACTGCCATGTCTCATTACACAAGAACAGCACTACCAGATGAGTGAGGCAGATGCTCCACTGTAGAGAACGGCACCCCCTCAAGTGGCTTGCATCCATCCATTCCAGCAGAATATGGCAACAGACGACCCTGCTGTCGTTTCCCAAGAAGAGGTACACACTCTAGAAGGAATGCAGGTCAGGGGGCACTGACTTTACTGACCGACAAGTTGGCCTGCCAACGCTGAAATGCAAATACCGACATCAACTGGCCCGCTAGACCCTGCAGCTAAAAGCTAGAAAAGGAAGCAGAGATGCACGAGGGTAGGGGGGCAGCAGGTGGTGAGTGTCCAGTCCGTCTGCGTTGGCTTTTGTGCGCAGTAATAAATGCCAGCGGACAGCAGATGCTGCAGGGACAGCTGAAATCTATGAACATAGCCTAAAGCAATGTTCTTCGTGCCATGTTGTTGTGACCAAAGCTTTTTTTTTCAGCGTCCTCTAAAGCTGTCCCATATGTAACACCCTAATCTATGAAAGCCACTTGGTCACACAGACTTGAGATGTACAAAGCACAGAAATGCACACACGTAGAATTAGTAGGAACACAATGTAATACAAAATCTAAATTAATGTTGTTTGTAACATTTGTATCTGTTTGTTCAAATTGGCAAACAGCACAACATTTATGGTAATTACAATTTCATTTGTTTCTATGAACACTGCCATCATTCGTTTGGAGTCATCTGGCTTTTATTGCCCAGATGTGAAAACTTCATGATCAGCCACATTGGGTTTGGACCACAAATCACGGTGTAATAAAAACATTTAAAAAAACCTTCTCTAGTCCGCTAACATGCATGAAATGAGATGTTAGAGAAATGAGATGTCATCTGAAATCATAGAAATGCAGTCGGCTGTGTGCTCGGCGGATTGATTGACGGTGAGGTGATCCTTTGTCTAACTGACACCATTTACAACGCAATCCCCTGCAGGCTGTCACAGGCACTGGCAGATGGAGAAAGGTCCAAGGGTTCCACAGACAAGGATGTGATCATAAACAATTTGTGTGGCATGTTGGTGGTGACTGGACATTAAATCATCACTTACAAGATAGCCTGCCACTCTCCAACAGGTAGTAAGATCCAGCAAGTTGAGTTGAGTTGGCTTTGAGAGCCTGACATGGCACGGATACGCGCACGCGCCCTTGGGTTCAATTCAATTCATTTTATTTTGTATAGCCCCAAATCACAAATTACAAATTTGCCTCAGAGGGCTTTACAGTCTGTACACATACGACATCATCTGTCCCGAAACCCACCATCGGCACAGGAAAAACTTCCCAAAAAATGAAAAAAAAAAAAACCTTCCCTCGCTCTGATCCTCACAGAAGGGGCGGGAATGCTTTGGTTTTCAGTGCTCCTATTTTACCACTTCTTCTACAGAGCTGCATCAGCTGGATTACAGGATTCTACCCGTAACTCTTCTAAAAGCTGCCTTCGACGAGAGGGTTGAATTAAATTCATTTTATTTTGTATAGCCCACAATCGCAAATTATAAATTTGCCCGGGAGGGCTTTACAGTCTGTACACATACGACATCCTCTGTCCCAAAACGCACACATCGGCACAGGAAAAACCCATAAAATGAAAAACCCTTTTATGGGGAAAAAAGGGAAGAAACCTTAGGGAGAACCTCAGAGGAGGATCCCTCTCCCGGGATGGACAGACTAAAATGGATGCCATGTGTACAGAATGAACAGTGTGAAAGATGTATAATACATTCAATTCCTATGACAGAACTGATTCAAATAATTGTGAGTTTTGAGCCAGGTGTACGGCAGGACCACCGCAGGGACCACCACCATCAGATAGAACCACCATCCACAGAAGCCTATGGGGAGGGAGAGCACACAACCGTTTCCCTTTTTCTGATTAGTTCCGTTTTGGGGCAAAAATCCTTTCCAGAAATTGTAAACAAAAGTCATGCGGTGGAAATGTTGACACTTATTGATCATGCAGCTGCCTCGACTTTAGTGGTGAGCTTTTGTACGCTGTGATAAGAGTGTGTGTGTGTGTCAACAACCAAAAACGTTTCGACAATAGCTGGCTAGTTAGCTAGCTAAATCCCAATCCAACCATGCACCACTCGCTACAGCAAATGAGCATAACAGGCTGGTGGCCAGCAGCAGGCCAGGTCCAAACGCTCCATCTGTCGATCCCTATAGGTCGGGGCCTACAAAACTGCAGAAAGCCCCTCCAATAGCCGAACTGGACTCCATGGTCCAATTCAAGGTACGCAGACAATAAATCCAAAGTTAGCTAGTTGGCAAACTTGGAGCTATGGACCAGCCCTGCAAAGCAGTTGTTTGGTTTGCACCAGAGTAAGAGTCTAAAGTTCAGACCGATTGAACTGTACATACAACAACTACAGGGTGTTAACTTATGTTTAAGTTCAAGGGTCTGACGCCCTGTGTGCATTAGATGAATGCTGAAGGGGAAAAACTGTTCATTCTTCAAAATGATGCTCCTTTCCTGCTTGCTTTATCATCCGGTCCAATCCCAGAGGCTGCAGCTCCATTTCTTATAAACTATTACAATGTATATATTTTACAAGCTAAGCAAAAGGCTTTACAATATATTTATTTACTAGCTGCAGTAAAGTGCTTGTAATCGTATTTGTGACAGATAGCTGCACCCGTGGCCAACAGTCAATTCACATTTGTGAACCGTGAGGGAGAATCCAATAGACTGCATCACATCGTCCACAAGAACATCTGTTCTTAGCATAAATATGTTGTTTTGATTTAGTATTCTGTTAACACTCGTGTGCAACACAGGGACTATTCTCCGTTGCCGTCAGAGTTTCTATGAATTAGGATCCATATTAAAAAGGCGATAAACCCAAATATACAGGGAGTCTGTGTTGAAATCCTTTGAATAGTAACTTGGCTGCATTCCACGACTTTTATTTATAAAGTATCAATGTTTAAGCTCCCCCTCTCTCACTTTATGTTGGACTTTCAAAGTTGATTAAATATGCTATATCTCTTCTTGTGGTTCTTAAATGATTCAGTGGGATGAATGATTCTCAATGAAATGATTATTTGGAATTGTTGTCTAATTGTTGTTCTGGCCAAACTTTTCAACAATTTTAAAAAAGCTTCTCTTGCTTTGTGAATGAAAAGCACGTAAATGTCTCAACCAAAAGAGTCAGCTAAACTTTGTTTTAAGGTTCCATAGAATAACATGCTGGATGATTTATTGACACAGTTGTCATACAGTATACATTTAATTAAGGCAAATATTTAACCTAAAGAGTATGGTTAATGTGTTTGGTGTATAAACAGGATATGCTAAAATGAAAGCAAATGGAAAGATTAATGTTTTATTTTGAAGCTTCAACTTCTATTCATTCATCTGATTTATTTGAAAAATGTCACATCTTGTAAGCGCTCTGGTAGAGAAAGAAATGAATTATAAATCATTGTATAACCACTGGCATAATCCAGATGATTTTGTCATGTTTAATTGACATTGCATTATTCTAGGTCCTTGAGTGGGTCACAGAAAGGCTGATCACCCAGAGCCCAGTTTTGTGATGGCGTCAGTGTGGATTGCAGAGGGCAGGCTGGACAGTGACATTTATGTGTAGTGATAGAGAGCTGGCGCCAGGTGTCACGGCCAATTGGGGTCAAAGGATCTTTGGAGGACGGAAGCACCTTAGCCTGTCCATCTGCCTGAGGAGAGCTGGCAATGTCCCAACTCACCTGACATCGGCACAGAGTTGTTGGGAAAGCTCAGGTCGTCCTCGGCCACCCAGGAGAAGCTCCAGTACCCTCGAGTAATGCCAGCAGCAGGCCTGCCAGCCAACAGTTCACCTGCAAAAACAGAAAATCCACACTTCATCGTCAAAGAACATTTTGCAGAGACACAAGATAATGCTGAAAAACATAATTAATCAGCGATTGACATCATGATTTCTCCCCGCTGTCCCTCCTTATTAGGGTTGAAGAGATTTTTTGTTTTTTAATATGCATGGGACTGTTTTCCGAAAAAAAGAGCTTGGTTTACAGGAAACCTAGTTTCTGCTTTCCAATGCAGTTTTTTTAAAAATAACTTGCAATATAAGGTTCAGACAAAAGATGAACCAGGTTAGGTTTCCTAAAAATCTTTACTTTCAAATAAATCAAAGTTCGAAAGCCCCTACAATGTATTTAAAGAATTCAAATTTTGATATAGGAGTAGTGAAAAGGTCTTTAACAGATCGCTTTAGTTCACCTTGACAGGATTAATGTTCTCCCTATAGAGCAGTTCTCACATCTTACAGAAGGGAATATTCACCAACACAGGTAATCAGTGCACAGTCATACAACAGTTAGGGGTCAGACATCTAAAAGTGAGCTGTGGACACTCTTGTCATTAAGAAAAAGTGAGCCTGTTGAGGTGGTTCAAGGGGGTTGGCTGATGAGGGTGCTGCAATCGGGTTCATGAAGCTGATGAATCCTATAATATTGATCGGAGATGGGGAGAATACTAAAGAGTATAGATTTCCTCTCTGAACTCCAGTTTCATGTGTCTCCTGGTGATGCTATTTTTTGACATCTGCAAATGGTAGGAGACAATGGGCCAGAACATGCTGTAGGGATAAGATGGCCTACTGTAACTTGACTGGCCTTGAAACACCTAAGAAGGCTCCAGAAAGAGTGAGATGATGCTGCTGGAAAGGAGGACAGCAGCACCACGTGAACAGACAAGGGTATGAATACAACTTTCTACAAATTAAACTATCCTAATGAAATGTAATAGGGTTTATATGAGGATGTCAAACAGTATACTAATAAGGAAACCGATGTGGCAGATGCTTGTTCCTAAAGCTGAATCTTAATTATGCAATCCTATCATAGCTCACTTTGGTTTTTATATATCACACATTAGTATAAGCTAATTTGAATGAAATGGAGATTAGGTATCTTTAATTACATTCTTTCTTCGTTGTTTCAAAAGATAGCATTTCAGCTCTACTTTACATAAGAACGTGTTCACCTTGTGTTTTTAGCTTCCTTCATGCTTATTTTCTGACCCGTATATTCATTTTATGTGAAATGTTTACAAGAACATGTTTAAATGCCTTAATGTAAAAATATTGTAATAAAATTATACTTTGTACTTGTAGCGTCCGTACCCACGAAAAAAATCTTGCACCTTTGCAAAAGTAAGACAAGCAAAAGTATGTGCACAAGCAATGAAAATAGTTTGTTTTTCCATGTTGGTTTTAATAATTCCTAACTTCAGTCTGCTAATGAAAAAACTTTCAGGCAGCTCCGTCATCCGCGCAAGTACACACACACTACTGTGCACAAACAGCTAGCCGTCCAAGTGCCATTCACCACCACAGAGGAGAGTTACCTCAGCTGAGTGAACAGTCTAATTCGGTCCCAGCCATACTCTGAAATCCCTCAAACGCTTAGTGGATTCATCAATGGGGCTTGACTCGACCTGTCACTTAAACATCGCTACAGGCGAACACATCTCTCTCAGGCTCGCTCTTTTTGACTTCTGACTGCTCAAAATGTCTCACATATTTTTTGTTTTGAAGGAAATTGAAGTGGATAGTTCCTGTGAAATCTATAAAAAAAATACAGCACAAGCAGTAGAGCCGCACTATACGTGATGTATGTGGCGCTTGGGGCTGTTTGAGGCTGGTTCAGTGGACCAGGAATAAAGTCAGTTACCTGTAAAAAGGGGTGGGAGGCTGAGTGTTAAGGTAGTGGATCTGTTAAGACTAAAAAGAGAGCTGGAATGTTGGAAGATGCTTGGAAAGGAACCGTTATGTATATAGCCGGCCAGTTTCACACCCTTTGTCCTTCTGCATTTCAAGCATCCCCCTATTCCTTTTTTGGCCCCCTTAATTAAAGATTTACCTTGGGATACATACATTACTGCCTCAATAAATTGATTACTTGTCCGGCGCAGTGACGCGTCATTAAATGCTCCTCAAAGTCTGCCAGCGCCGTGTCAGGCAGCTCAGGACCCCAGACTTGGCTGCTCTGACTTTGCCCGACAAAAGGCGGCATTGATTTCCATCAGAGGAGCCCACGTGTCCACTAAGCACTCCTGCTTTCATTGAGACCCTCGCAGAATTCCACGCACGTCGCTACCTCCCCCTCCCCCCCCACACCCACACCACACTTGATCTCACTTCTCGCTGGAGATGTGTACTAACAGAGGCGGTAACCTCCACTTTTACAATTAAAATGAGAGGGGTGTGACGGGCAATAATTCATACATGTCTCATCCGCATTAATAGAGACGTCAAGTTCTTCCTGGTCTCATCGTAACGACGAGTAGCCAAGGTCAAGGGTTACATGGAGGCAGGCAGATTTCAAGTGTTTACATGCCACCTACTGCGCTTGTTGGATGCTTTAAGGAGGAATGAGTGTTTTTTAATAAAGAAGCTTTCTGCATTTGTCATAATGTGCTGCGTGGTTTTAATTTTTTTTCTACAGCATAATGAAAAATAAGCCCTGCCTTGTAAACATCAGGGGTTTTGATTCAAGTGTACACATTGAGTAAAGACTGCAAATAGGGGCGATGGTGGCGCAGTAGTGAGGGTTCGCCGGGAAACGCAAGGTTGGCAAACACATAACCTCTAATTGTTCGCTTGGCAAAATGTAAAAAAACATGGGTTAAAAATGTAATGCAATAGTGCAACCTTTTCTCTGCAGGGAAAACTCACTTTAATCCTTCCCTTGAGCCATCACTGAACTTCAAAAGGGTGAACAAGCAAGACAAAATTCCTGTTAACAACTGTACGTTTAGATGGTTTAATGAAAAAGAAAAGATATACTGCATATCAGGATCGGTTGCATCAAAAGTAATAAGCCAAACCTCTTATTTGGAGGAAGAGGATATCTTAGTAAACTCACGTCTGCACTCATTTGGGTTTTATTGCTTAATAATGAAGTTAATATACCCGTATTCAACCCGTGTGAGCGCCTGTCCCTTCTAAGGAAATCCCACTGATAAAAGATACTCCAATCTGACTGCTCAATGTTTTGTGACGTGGGCAGCCATCAAAAAGTCGCGAGGTTGCCTGACTTCAGTTTGGGGCAGCCGCGGCTCGGAGCAGGCTGTGTTTTAACAACAGTCGGCACCTGGATCTTCTGCTCCTCTTGTCATGTCAAGGTCTGCTTGAGCGAGCCAGAAGCTTTACAGCAGCCGACGGGTCGGCTCAATCCCATTCTCCACCCCGATGGACTCACAGGCTTTGAGGCTCCCTCCGGCTCTGCAGGGGTTTGGTTCTGTCCCACTGTCACACCACCAAGCGTTTCAGGCTCTGTGGCAGACATCTTGAGCCTTTTGTGAACCCAATGTGACATTAGAAAGGGGATAACCAGTGAAAGCATGGAGCATGTACAAAAATAAGGTAGACTAAGAGGGCGGATCATTTGTGTTAAGACTGTCCCATTAAAATGTATACATTTGAACAATGAAAAAGATTTAAAAAAAAACACACAAAATCATGCAACATTTACAAATGTTTCCATTCAAGCTATTTAGATGAAAACGTTAATTATATTATTTCAGATGACCTCTCATCTCATGAGGAAAGAGCCCGGAAAAACCCCAAAATGAATCAGAGTAAAACGAATGCGGGCCAAACAATTACGGCAGCAACGGGCCACACTGGACTCCCCGGCAGGCCGGATGTGGCCAACGGGCCGGAGTATGCGTCCCCTGGTTTATGGTTTAGGGGACATTGGGATTGGGCTGTTCTAATGCTGGAATGAGAGGGTCCGATGCCCTGCTTTTTGGGGGGTGGGTATGCACTCCAGACAATGATGAGTATCTTTTTCAAGATATGTCCCACTTTAAATTACCTCTACTTTAATATGGGTGGTCAACAGTGTCACGTGAAATCTTGGCTCTCGAAGTGAAAGACGCAGGTCCAGTGAACAAGCTTCAGGTGCAGTAAACTCTGCATGAACTGCAGCGTTTGATAAAATACCAGCTAGGCCAAAAAGCAGAGCCCTGAAACAGAGGAATGCCTTCTGACAGCAAATAAGACGCTCCCCCTTAACGAGTGTTCATGCGACACGTGCGCCCCCAATTCACAGTGGGATCAAGGGCTGTTTTCTCTCTCAAGACAAACACCAAGTAGCTATTTATAGATTCAAAGGAAGCGATCACACAACTTCAGTCGGAAAGGATTATCTCGGGGACCAAAGGGTTGCTGAAGGGATAATGAAGATTCCCTGCTCATAAAAAAAGAATACATTTTGTACACTGCAATCGTACCTCTTTTTCTTTCATTGAGGCTTTTGCTGCGCCAGTGGCGTACACACACACACCTAATAACATATTAGGCCTATTATGTACAGTACATCTAACGCAGCGGTTCCACATTATTTTACTTTTTGGGTCTCCATCCTCACCGGGTTCATGCACTCCCCAATAAGTTCCAGTTACTAACCCTCTCCACGTGAAGAGCAAAGAGTGGCACATGTTCCAGAAACATATATGGATGAAAAAGGAGTCCATCTGAGGATTTTCACATGCACCGCAGGTGGCTCAGGTTGCAGCGAGAGAGAGGGGGAGGGACAAGGAGGGGGAGATTGAGATATGCATTCCCAGCAACCTAGTATCAATAATAATCGTAGTATGTGATTCGATCCCACATGTCCTCGTAAAGATGTCAATCAAATAAATGATTTCTTGTCCTGTTGTTCGGGTAGCAAGGGGCCGATAGAAGAAAAAATCTTTGTGCCTTTGAAAAGGTAAAAAAAAAGGGGCTTTTGACTTGCACCTCAGGTGGCGACGTAAATGAGAGCCAGAACCTCACTACCACCACGCACTGTGGCTTTGGGCAATCTGGATT